CTGCTTCTGTAATCGCGAGCTGATGCCTGTGAGTGTGTTTGTTAAGGCTGGTTTCTCCAGGTCGCTCTCGCCCTCCCCAACCGCTGCAGAACCCTCCACCGCTCAAGGAACAGCCCACCGGAGACACATGCAATGTCACATGCACCACCACACTGAGCGCTTCCACATGGCCAAACACATGAGTGCAAATTTCGATGGACGAATAAAGAACAATTCCTGCATACTAAGTAGCCGTTTTAAGACGTCGCGTGTGTTTAGGCTGAGCCCTGTTCTCCATTACAGCTCCCTCCGGACCAGTGGCCAAGTCAAGCAGAAGCGAGTCATTAAGGAGAGTAGGCTAGCGTTCACCTCTTCCCATCATCCCACATCACTCGCTGTGCCTCCGTCCTCCAGTATCTTTCACTCCCCCTCCGCTTTTGACTGCAGCCCTTCACCGGGAGGTGTTTGTGAGTGACATCACTCCGAGGATTTCCTTTTGTTCTGCAGACAGATCACTTCTCTCTCTCTCTCTCTCACAGAAACGCACAGTGCTGTGAGCTATTTTTAGCAACAGAAAAAAAAAAAACACAACACGACTACAAAGCAGTAGGTTGCTAGAACTTGCTACACTGAGAAAAATACAGCAAAAAAGGAGCCCAAAGTGGCTGCGCATTATGAAAATTTGCCTGCGTTAGAAAAGAAAATTGCAAGGGAAATCCATTTTGTCTCGATAGTTTCTCCTAGAGTGCAATGAGATAAAGTGCAAATGGAGACTTTAGCTCATATCTACTGCTTTTCAGGATATTCTCTGGAGGATAAAACCCAGTAATCTCTCAATAATGCCACAAACCAAGATTTGTGCTCAAGATATTGTACAAGAAATCTGCAATCAAGTCTTCTCAATATGAACTCCAACATTTTTCATTAAATAGATTATAAAATAGATTATACCCTTTCTTTGTAAATAACTTTCTCATTTGCAACAGTTTTTATTTCTCCTAATGAAATTCAAGAATATAATATAATACAAAATATAATATAATATAATATAATATAATATAATATAATATAATATAATATAATATGCAGTGTGACAAACTTAATTCCATCTAGAACTTTTTAAAGACTATTTTAATTCTTTTTGATTATTAGGCAAGTCTCAATAACTTTAAAGACTACTTAGAATAATTAATAGAGACTAAATGAACACTTCTAGAAAGTACATGGAAAAGACTTTTAAAATTAAAAATAAATCAACAAAATTAAAGATTAAAAAACTAAACTTAAATTAATAGAAATTTTTCACACTAGCAGGACCATTTAAACTACACTATAAAAAAATATTTTTTGAAGTTATAAATTCCAGTGGCAAAAAAAATGCAGATTTTAGGATTTTGTTTTACAAGAATATATATATATATATATATATAATTTTGTTATTTATTTGTGAAATGTACTAGCTAATTTACTAGTTGGTTTCAAAGGAAATCCTACATCATTTCTGCTTTCAGTACACTGAAGAAAAAAAGATGATTAAAAATGGACCTAAGATACAGACTTTCCCCTTATACGTTCATGCAAATTTGAACCTATTATGATTTTACAAATTCTGGACACGTTTTGTGTCAAGTACGCACATGCAAACATACAGAAAATGACATTCTGAAAACTCATTTAAATGCATTGAAGCTGTTTTAAGTCTCTCACAATTTCTTTGTGCTCAACATATTGTACAAGAAGTCTGCAATCAAAAGTCTCCTCATTTTCTCATCAAATTATTCCAAGACCAAATGATCCAAGCTATGCTATTCAAATTAATTTATAGATTTTGATCACAATAATTTTTTTATTTGGGACTATGTTTTGGGACTGTTTGAAAAATGGATACTAATAAAACACAATCAAGCAGTGCTATCCATTTATAGCTTTATTACTTTATATCAGTTTGTGACTATTTTTATCTCTACTACAGAATTCTACAAGACACATCTGTTGCTACTTCAGTAAAACATAACAGAGAACTCAATTAAGTCTCCTGTGACATAAAAGAGCAACCTCTGAGCAATATAATTCTCCTGTGGGCAAACCTTCAAGAGCCTCAGGAGGACCATTAACCAGCACAGAACAAACTCCCTCATAGTGAAGTGTGTCATTTCTGCACGACAGTGTCAGTGGAATCACAAAAACAATGTTTTCAAATGGGTTTTGAGTGGGTTTGGCTTGCTCAGAAGTGTGTAATGTATTTCTGAAATCTGCAGATCGCCACGCTTGTTCTGAAGAAAAAGAACACACAATTTATTGCTAAAAAAAGCATCTACATGGGCCTCTCAATAATTTATAAGTATAATGAGCATCTGTTGTTTTTCTTGGCAGTGGGTGATTTCTTTTTCTGAGGGGAAAAAGCATTTGTTGGAGCAGGCGGAGCGTAGCAACTACCTCAGAGCATGTGTGTTACACACGCATCCACACGGCCCACTGTTAAACAATATGCCAGCGATCAAATCATCCAAAACATGCTCAGTGGAGCACTAACATCTCTGCTGCTAAGAATAACCCCTCACTCTCCGTTGTTCTTTTTATAGCCGTGCCTGGGGAGCCGGCCTGCAGTTTTTAGAAGGACACGACCACAGTCGCTGCTCCTCGGCCCATTTGATCTCAGCTGACGACACTTGTTACTTGCTCGCAAACACAAACACGCGTTATACCATGGAAAAGCACAACAATACAACCCTGAGGCAACATTTGCATGTTTCACAGTGCAGAAAATAAGTATCTTTCAATGATTTTCTAATAATGGACGTTTCTGGGTTCTCTGAAGCTTAAGTCGTTGTATGTCTATAGTGGTGAACGGAAAATAGTTTTAAAAAAATAGTTTTGTGTTCCCATTTGCTCCAAAAGCAAAATAAAAATCCTGTCATGCACAATCATGTTTCCAAAAAGTACAAAATAAATAAAGAGATTTACAGCAGTCAGAAGAGAGAAAGATGTCAAATTTACTGTCACTCCCTCAGATGTTGTATTAGAAACATCCTTTTGTGTGCAATGGTAATGTTTTCTTTTTGTAATTTAATGCCAATATAATAAAACACAAAGTATAATGTTAAAAATGTGCACTTTCCATTTTTAAAAGAAATATTTAAAAAATGTTTTGCTAGATTTATGATGTTAATAACTCTGGAAACGTGCCATCACAGTCAATTGTAAAGAGATTTGGATATTTACAGTATTTATCTGTTCTGAAATGGTAAAAGATAACAGAGATATGACATGATAATTGTTACGGTGCGCTACTGTGAGGAGCACGGAGACGAAGGAGCGAGGAGAGGAATTCAAACATATAGATTTTAATAACATCCAGGGAACAAGGAAAACACACGTAGCAAGGGTAGACATACAATTCCAGACGAGGGAGAACAGGATGGGCTAGAACTCAAATAGGGCAGATAACGAGGGGCAGACAGGTGAGGAGGAAAACTAATAACAAGGAACACCTGGAACTAATAGAACTAAATGGGGACAGGAACCGGAAGGACCAAATAAGGGCAAGGAAGGCACATGGGGAGCAAAACACACACAAAACTAGGAACAGAGTCTGACAATAATATAATATAATATAATATAATATAATATAATATAATATAATATAATATAATATAATATGATATAATATAATATAATATTTTCCAGCCTTTTGGAAGATATTTATCTGTTTTGAAAAGGTAAAGGATAACAGAGATGTGACATGATTTTATGAATAGTTGAGTTAGAGTTGAGTAGAGTTTGGATTGATTCATTTAAATGGATAGCTTGAAGTGATTCACAGAAATGAATTGAACTTGCTAACTGTAACAGCATCTTTGCTAATGAAGTTTTGATGGGTCCACAACATGCAACATACTGACTATGAGAAACTTTGCAAGTATATGTCAACTTATTCTACTAACCCTAACCTAACAGTCTACTCTTAGATTTAGCAGACATGTAGTTGCAAATTAATGAGAATTAGTTGACATGTAGTTGCAAAGTTACTTATAGTTAGTAGAATGTCT